CAACAGCCCCCACCACCAAGGTAGGAATAAAAGTGCAGGGGACTTCAGGAGCCGGGAGGGCTCCTGTACCCCTAACTGGGTGGTACCCTTTTCTCCTCAACAGGCCCATTTTAAAAATAACTCTCACATGAGCAATGGCATTGGGTCTCAATCACCCACAGGAACAGCACTCAGGAGGTCCAGACTGTAGCCACTTCCTTTAGCCCCAAGACCCTCCTTCCCTGAGTTGGGGACTGTGAGTCTCCGGAACAGAGTTCCACCTCCAGGCCCCCTTTTCCCTGGTCCCTTTTTCCAGGGGGCACCTACACACGTGGCAGCAACAGAAAGGGGAAAGAGGAAAGGGACAAAGGAAAAGAACTGAGTGGTGCGTTTCTTTGGGGGATGCCAGATGGGTCCCTTCTCTGTACCTTTAGGCTCGTGACCTCCAGAAAGTACTGGCCACATGGAACCAGATTCAGGGAGCTCTCTGCACAGAGGACCCTTGTAGAAAGCGTAGGGCAAAGGGATGCGGGCTGTGATGCCCGCCTCCCCAGACTGGCATGTTAGCCTCACAAGGATTTGCTTGCTTGGTAGATGGGCTGTGTTAACTTGAAGAAAACATTGTGTCCAGAGTAGAGAACGTCAAGTGTCTTTCACTCAGGTAACAGAGTATAAGATAATGAATACACTTGTCATTTTTATTTCTTAGTTCTTTTTCCTTCCATAAATACACATCGAAGTCTGGAGAGGGGCTTTGATCTAAGCAGGTCACAGTAAGGAGTATCAGAAATAGAAATTAGGGCTTCCCCTCCAGGAATTTCCCATTTGGCCGTAGGGTTAAGACAGACAGGCACAGAAGGTGAGCAGTGCAGACTCAGTGATACAGTCTTTTATTTATTCCACACTTACGGATGGAGAGCTCACTACAACCTCAGGATTCTGTGGGCCTAGCACCCCAAAACATGTGAATATGCACCCAAGGCTGGGTAGGGCAAGATACCAAGTAGGAAGGACAAAGGGCGGTGCTGCAGGAGATGAAATGAGGATGAACCACTCAGGAAGAGATCCACCCAGGAGGGAATCCCACAAGGGAGCCTTGAAAGGTGGTGAGGAGTTGGAGGGGCAGCATCACAGGAGGAAAATCTTGGGCAAAGATATGAGGGTGTTTCCACCCGAGTCCTTCTTAGGAGAAAATGAAAGAATGACCTTGGTTAAAGGAGAGGGTTTATGTGGAGACGATTATAAAGAGCATCAAATGCCAAGCTCAGAGAGGAAGGTACCGGGTATAAACGGGAACTTAAGCCAGGTCCCAGCTGCTGATTCAGTGGGGTCTCCCTCCGCCAGGGACCGGAGGAAGATGAGCCACTCCCACGTCGCATGTCCCGCTGATCCCTCCTTAGATCCAGGTTGAACCACCTGCCCTTGGGATTCTCCCTCCCTTCAAATGCAAAATGCCCAAAATCCCTTTGGAGGCTCAAACCTGGGTCCACGAAGGAGAAAGTCAGCTTAACACTGACCTTGCACACACAGAGAACCAGCCTGACCTCTGAGGGGTTCCAACTGATTCATGAAGGCAAGATAACAGTGCTGAGCCGAGCGCTAGCACTTGAGCCAACAACTGCTTGCAATATTCTGTCTAATCTCTACGAATCACCCCAGGAACTTGTTGCTATCATGACCACCTTTTTAGAAACAGGAAACAAGCTGGGGTAACTTGCCCAAGGCCACACGCACAGGTATCTGAGCTCACTGTGCCAGTGTGACCAGGTGGGGGGGAAGTCCCCTGACTGTTTCTATTTGAAGCTATCACTCCACCGTCTCCTGGTGTAAACATGATCATAAACACCAACATAAACATAAACCTTAAGTGGGCAGCCGGAGGATCCGGAACATACTTGTTTCAATTTCCTTTCCATTGCCACTGAAATGAAAGCACAGAATTTTAAAATTCCCGTTGAGAAGCTACACGCTCCCAAGAATGCAAGCACAGACATTCAGGCTCAGAGGGAGGGAGTCAGGCACAACCCAACTCTCTAGAGAAACCAGAGGCATACTACAGGCAACCAACCTTCCTCAACAAAGTCATTTCACCAAAACTGTAACTGGCAACCAACCTGTCCTGGGCAAACCAGTTTTGGACCAGATCCCCTCTTGGCAGGGATGAGGAAGGAAAAACAAAGCCTTTTGTCCTCCCACACGTGCAGAAGTAATAGGGAAATAAGCAGTAACACAGAAATGGTGGCATTAGGGAGGAGAGTGTAGCTCAGCGGTAGAGGGCATGCCTAGCATGCACAAGGTCCTGGGTTCAATCTCCAGTACCTCCATTAAATAAATTAATAAATAAACAAATCTAATTACCTCCTCCCTCCCCTGCAAAAAATGTGGCATTAGAAAGAACTTTATTGAGCACCTACTATGCCCCAAGCTGTCTGCAGATGTGGGACATGGATATCAAAAGGCTTACAAATCTAGAAAGAGAGGCCAAAGGTAAACAAGCCATTGCAACTCCAAGTTTCTCAGCCTTGGCACTATTTACATTTTAAGCCCATTTCTTCTCTCCAGGATACTGTTCTGTGCAGTAAAGGATATTTAGCAGCATTTCTGTCCTCCATCCACTAGATGGGAGTAGCAGCACCCTCCCCCTTCCTGGTTATAACAAAAATGTCTCCAGACTTTGCCATATATCCCCTGGGGGCAAAACCAGCCCCAATTAAGAATCACTGCAGTAAGGCATAGCAAATGCCCTGTACAGTCCAAGGGGCAGACGTGAGGAGAGGAAGACTTCCTAAAGATAAGGACAGCTGAGCTGAGTGAAAGTCATGAATGAGTACCCAAAAAGATGAAGAGGTAAAGCATTTTCCAGAAGGAGAGAGAACATCTTCGGAAAAGACACAGTGGCTTGCGTAGTGTGTTAAGAGAATTAAAATAACTTAGTTCCCTTTGTGTGTGATGAGAGCCGGGGAGGGAGTCAACACAGTACAAAGATATGTGTTAAATACATATGAATAATATCTTTAAATATTTGGCAAGAATCAAAGCAAGAAAAGAGGTTTAGTAAGAAAAATTTAAGTCAGTTAAATGGAAATATACACTACAGCTTCCTAGATATGATGATTATAAAGATGTGAAGTTTTTCCTAATTAATGTGTAATAATAAATAGTATAAGTATACAATAATAATAAAATGTATTGAGACCTTTGTATGTGCTAAAGCATTGGTTCAAGAAATTAGCATGTGTTAATTTACATTTTTAAATATAATTGACATACTTGAATACATTTACATAAATTACCTATACTGACTTTAATTTTCACAACAACCCTGTGAAGTAAGTATTAGTATTATCTCCATTTTATAAATGAGGAAACTGAAGCACAAAAGGGCTATAGAATTTGCCCAGTTACACTGTAGTAGTAAGCGGAAGGTGAGGATTCAAACCCAGGCAGACTTTCTGCACAGCCCAAGCTCTTCCTCATTGTAAGAATTCTGATCAAAATACCAGTAAGCACTTTCCTTTGGGAACTTGACAAAGTGGTTATCTATAAGAAGTAGAGGAAGTTAATTTTTAAATTTTTTTTTAAGAATAAAAAAAAGTAGAGGGCTAACTCTGCCAGGAAGATATTAAGCCAAATTCTAAAGCTGCAATAATTTAAAGGGTGCTTTGGCCCAAAGGTGGACAGACAGGTCATGGAATAAAATCTTAAAACAGAAAGACATATATGTGAACTTAATATAGACAGAAGATTTTACAAAGCCATGGGGAAAGGGGAGGTTATTCAGTATGTGCTGCAAAAATTACTGATTAGCTTTTTTGAGGAAAAAAAGAATTATAGCATATAAACCAAAATAGATCCTAGATAATTAAGTATAAAAATATATAAAATACTTTTGAATTTTCTAAAATTCTAAAAATAATTCTAATATAATTTCTAAATAGAAAATAACTTCCTAAGCATAGAAATGATGAAGAAAAACAAAAAAAGAAAAGATTTTACTACATCATTCAACAAATATTTATTAAGCACCTATTATGCACCAGGTACTGTGGAGCATATAAATGGAATAGAGTATTTTTCTCTAAAACCGTGAAAAAAATTAAAAAGTAAATAATCAATGGGAAAAGTTTTTTGTCATCTTAGCAATATAATAAGATCCTTAACAAATAAGTAATTCATATACATTTATAGAAAAAGTACTAAAATTCCAGTAAATAAATGAGGAAGAAGTACAAACTGACAACTCAAGAAAAGGGAAAAGCAAATGCTCCATAAATATTTGTTTAAAAAAATAGTTTCAAGGTCATTAGGAACCAAAGTAATGCAAATTAAAACTTACCAAATTCACAGTGTAGGGAAGGGTGCAGTGAGGTGAGAGCTTTCAAATACTGCTGCTAGGAATAAAATTCATAGACAAAAATTCATAAAAAAAAATTTTTTAAACTTTATTCCCTTTGACGTCTTAATTCCACTCTTGGGAATCTGTCCTAAAAGAGTGATCAGAAATGCTAGCAAAGAGTTATGTGAAAAATGTTCATCATAATACTGTTTTTCATACCAAAAAGAATTGGGGCAGGGGAATAATCTAACTATATAAAAATAGATGCTGTTTAGGTGAATAACAGCACGTCTACATAATGGAACACTAACATACTCATATTAAATTAAATGTTTAACTGGAATTTGACACAACACTGTAAAATGATTATGAATCAATAAAAAATGTAAAAAAAAAAGAAATTAAATGTTTAACATTGAATATATTAAACAATGTTTATGAGGTGCCTTAATTGCGCATGTATGCAGTTAAGTGAAGAGTCAAAACATTAAATGGTATAATCTCTTAATCATGTAAAAATATATATACAGAGAATGGGTGAAAAGAAAGTATGCCAAATACTCTTAGGTTATGAGTGATTATTAAAAATTCTCCCTACTTCCAAATTTTCTACTATGAACACCAAAAGGTGGAGCCGGAAATTAGGATATGCAGGATATATATCTGATACCACTTATATGTGGAATCTAGAAAATGATACAAATGAACTTATTTACAAAATAGAAACAAACTCACAGACAAAGAAAACAAACTCATGGTTACCAAAAGGGAAAGCTGGGGGGAGGGATAAATTAGGCATTTGGGATTAGCAGATACAGACTACTATATATAAAATAAGTAAACAACAAGGTCCTACTGTATAGCACAGGGAACTATATTCAGTAGCTTGTAATAACCTATAATGAAAAAGAAAATATATGTATAATTGAATCGCTTTGCTGCACACTGGAAACTAACACAACATTGTAAATCAACTACACTTCCATTAAAAAAAGAAAAGAAATTAGGAATATTAGGTGTGTTAGTATTTTAAAAGAAAAAAAAATCAATAGATGTAGCAATTATTTGTCTTGCTAATATACTAATTTTACTCCTCCCTAGCTATAATATTATATTGCTAGGTGACCACCATTTTGCCTAATTACCATAGATGGTGTTATATTAATATTCCTATAAAGAAGTAAAGAAGAGGTAGGGGACAGGTTTTTGCCAATGTCAGTGAAAGAATGTAAGTCCCTGGAAATGCACAGCCTGACATGGCACTACCAGAACCATAGTTAAAGCTGAATATATTCTCCCTACAGGTGATTCCCCCTAAAAAGCTAGCAAAAAATTTGCTCCATTTTAAAGGTGATTAAACAAAGTTGTAACAACCCCATTATTGTTCAAAAGAATTAGACCATGAGCTATCATTATTATTATTATATATTACTATAATCGGACCATGAACTGCCACTATTATTAGAGATACATTTAATGTATTTTAACAAATTCTATTTACATGAACAAGGAAGCTAGATTTTCCTCTGTGGACCCCCATTCATTCCTTGGCAGTGACAGCTAAAGCAGTGGTCCGCTCATTCCAGAGCACAGAAAATTTGCCAGGAAGTGGAAATTCCCATTGTTAAGATGTTTTAAAACATGTCAATATTTATTTCACATTTTTTTAAGTGTGTAGACTTACAGTTTCCCTCTACTCATTCAATATTCTGCCTAAGGTAATGGGAGCTTTAGTTTAACCTTTATAATTAACTTTTCCTTCTTCCAAAAAAGGAAAGTCACTGTCACCATTTCAAATAAGAAAGAAAGCTTAATTCATTATTACCTAAATAACTATTTTTCCTGTTTTGAAGTTTTGCATAAAAAAATTTGCATATGGAAATAGGAGGGAAAACTGTCATGAGTGAGACTGGATAACTATAATAACCTTTTCTTTTTAATTTCTCCATTTTCAGTCTACTGTTTTGGTGGTATTGTCGTCAAGGGGGGGGCAGGGTTTAGACAAATGTTATAAATGAAGAGCTGGAAACTAAACCCTTCTAGATCTCTTTGTGAATATAAAGCCTGTCTCTTGGTTGAAATAAGAGTAACATGAATTCTGTCCACAGAAACGGTGGCATAATCACTCCTGAATGATTCCAACATTTTTCAATCAAATTGGTCAATCCCCCCCCCTGGTCCACCAGCAGAAACCAGGGTCATTTTGTCTAGCTGCCCTGTCCCCACCTTTTAGACTTGGCCTTGTAGTTCAGTTCATGGGATACAGAACCACCAACACGACTGCACCTTAAGTCATATGACCCTTTGTTGCTCTCTTCTCTGGGGTTTTCTGGCTCATTCTTTGTCCACAAACACTGATCACAGAACCTAGAACAAGGTGTAGGTTGAGGGGAGTGTTACCTCCATTCAAATCAGAGGGGCGAACTTGCATATCTGCTTTCTGTGTTTGCTGGGAATAAACTCGTGGGAGTGGTAGGTGGGTGCACCCAAGATAACATTGAAATGTCTAGATGCACAGGCTTGTTTCCTGGAGAAACTGCACAGGTTAGGGATTGGGGTGTGGGTGGGTGTGGGTGTGTATCAGGGCCTTGACAACCAGATTTGGGGAAGGTCTCATCAAAATGTATCTGAATATACTTCAGTTTTTTTTTAAAAAAGAAAGAAGAAAAGGTATCTGAATTCAGAGGCTGACTACCATGACCCACAGGCAGCAGCAGGTCCATCCACGCACTAACGTAACTCGAAAACCAAATTATGTAGACAAAGTGCATCGGCTGATCTCCGGCCAAGCCACTCTTTTTCATGATTGTGTGATTCCTGACATTTTGACCAACTGCAGTGAAAACTTTTCTCCCAAATGTAGAAGACTACAGTGTGTGAGACCTGCAAGGGAGCTAAGATATTCTAGTTTAGTCTGCCCGTGCTAGAGATGAAGGAACTGTGACCCACAGAGGTCGAGCAGTTTGCCCCAAATCAGCCAGCACACAGCATGTTAGGGTCAGCGTCAGGAGTGGATCCCAAGCCTCTCTGTAACCAGGTCAGGGTCCGGAGCCCAGCCTGCCCTGCTCTCTCCTACTGACTTTGTGGAACTTCCTTGTCTGCCTGCCACATGGTCTTCATGTGGTTCTTGTGGGAGGAGTGAAAGGATGAAGCAGGGTCCACACAATGCCTGCTTCTCCTCATCCCAGTTCCATGCCTGTGGGCCAAGAGCCTATCTATAGGATTTGGCTTCCTGTTCTTGAAAATAGGGACAACTTTGCCTGCTCTTGCCACTCCATATGGAAACAGAGAAAGAGTCCCAGGCTGGAAGTTGAGGTGCAAGCCCCACTTTTGCCATCTTTAAAGCATCTGTGGTTCAAGGTACTTGGACAAGTCCTTAACCTATTTGTACCTCACTTGATTCACCTCCCCCCACCAAAAAAAAAAAAAAAAAGGTGGTGGATAACACTGCCCTATCCATTTCTGTAAGATTAAAATGGAAGATGTCAGTGAAAGGTGGTTTATGAGTTGTGAGGTAAAAATGTGAACGTCTGCTGTAAGCGGAGATTTCCTGGGGCCATTTTTTTTAAGTGAGGTCAGGCCAAGTGGTTTTCCGTGGTGAGCAGAGCCTCAAGGACGGGCTTGTGGGGGCTCTCAGCGGTGCCTTTTCCCCGGGTGGTGGCGCGCTCGGGCGCAGCCCGACCTGGGATGGGGCGGAGGTCCACTCAGACCGCCGCGCCCTCAAACTAGCTGAGACTCGGCCGCTCAGCGGGACAAGTGCCTCTTGGGCTGCTTCGCTAACAAATGAAAAAATAATGCCCTTGAATCTGGAGTGAAACTGAACTATCTAAGGAAAACACTGTGAGCAAACACCAAAGGCCGAGGGAAATCATCTGATCAGAGCAGCTACCCCAAGAGCGTGGCAGGACGAAGGCGGCAGCTGGGACGGGGGCCGAGGCCATGTCCACCACCATTTACCAAGTGGTGGGCTTCCTCCTGTCCGTCCTGGGCCTGGCCGGCTGCATCGCCGCCACGGGGATGGACAGGTGGAGCACCCAGGACCTCTACGACAGCCCCGTCACCTCCGTGTTCCAGTACGAGGGGCTGTGGCGCAGCTGCGTGCAGCAGAGCTCCGGCTTCACCGAGTGCCGGCCCTACTTCACCATCCTGGGCCTGCCAGGTACGCGCCGGGCAGGTGCGGCCGGGACGGGGCCTCGGAAACCCGCGCAGGGCCTGACCCTCGCAGCGCTGGCTCAGGAGCAGAGGTGTGAATAAGAGAAGTTGGCCCCGGGTCAAGGAGGGGTATAGTCATAGGGGAGAACAAAGGAGAATTCATTCTCAGGTCAAAGGAAGCCAGCCCTGAAAAGACTGGGTCTATGGTGAGGGCAGGATCGTGGTACTGGGATAGACAATGATTCTCAAAGAGGAAAGTAACTGTGTGCACGTATCTGCGTGTGACCTGCTCTTGCCCCACATACGTGGGAGCAGGGACGTAGGATGGTGACTGTTTTCTTACAGCCGAAAACGTTTTTTGGGAGCTAATGTCATTTTATTTTCATGTCAGTGCAATTTTTCTTTGAAAAGTTGGAGTCTCTGTAGGTGCTAGAAAGTCTGTATTGCCATTAAATTATGACTATCCTTTTCTTGCTCTTGTGGGGAGAGGTTCTGGTTTGTATGCCTAAAACACAAGGCGTGTCAGAATATAAGTATAAAATTATAATTATATGATAATGATTTCAGAATATAAATATAATTATAAATGTGACATCGTTTCTCCCTTGAACATGAAAGAAGTTAAATCCCTGCTTCTAATACAGATAATTTTTCAAGTAAGCATCATAAGAGCTTTGCATTCTACATCTTAAAGGAGCTCTACTTGTTTTTTTTGTTGTTGTTGTTGTTTTTTAGAAAAAAGCAAAAAAAAATAAATAAATAAAAGATCAGGCTAATCAGTGGCTCCAAGGAGTGACCAAAATGTGAGTCTGGTGAGGAAAAGAAAACAGTGCTGGGTTTTGCCTCTCTGAAACAAACACCTTGTGGACAGGTGGATGGGAATAAATTTACACAAAACTGTTAGAGCTTGTGAAGTCCTTGAAACTGAATTGTGAAAGCCCTTCAACTAATTCATCTTCATTTGCAGAAAGAAATAGAATGTGGGTGTCAAAGTAGAAGAATTGGGGTATTTACTCCATTTTTAGAAGCCACTTGTATTGCAGGACAAACCAATCATTGAGACCTGCTTAGAGAAAAGCAAAGGGAGGTAGAACTCGGCCGGAGGGAAGAAACCTCCATAGGAAGGATGGGAGGAGGAATGATGCTGTAGTGTGATGCGAAAGGTCAGAAGAGAGTAGATGCAAGACCGTGGGTTGTTAAGTTGCTAGCTACACCTAACTTTAACTATTCAATGAAAAGATAAGATTGATCTTATATTCAAAATTAAGGTACAACATTCCAGAACTTTGGCTCAATAACCTCTTCCCAAGGCCCCATCACATGTTATCAATCTCTTGCTCATTCTGTATCTTTCCACCCGTGGGGGTCCCAAATATTCCCTCTCTCCTAAATGACCAGCCCCCACTGCTGCCTCTCATGTGTCTTCCCTGTTCTACAGAGGGATCCTATCCTCCGTAAGCCCTCTCAGAACCTCTCCTCATCTCCCCACCAGCAGTTCGACTCTCTGCAAAACAAAATCCCTTTTCTCTCTCCCGTCCAAGGCCAACCTCTCTCCCCACCCCCATCCCAGGCTCTGGAGACCCTACACCCACCATCTGGTCATCTCCACTGATGGCCCCCCCCTTCTTGCCTCTTTCATCTCTCCTCCTCACTCATGCTTATAGCCTCCTTTCCTGGAAAATCTTCTCTTGCTTCTGATCACTGTCAAGTTCTGTCTCTTCCTGTGTCCCTAACAACCAAATTAAAAGACCGAATTTTTCTACCACCCCTCATTCTCAACCTTTTGCAGTCTGGTTTCTCTCCTTCATCCCTTTGAAGGGTTTTCTCCTTTGACTATGGCAGAAGGTAGGGCAGAATCTTTCAACTACCAGTTTCCAGTTCTCAATTCTCACCTCCCTAGAGATTTCAAAAGACAAACACCTTCCATGGTTCCCTTCTGTCAGCCTAATTAGGTGCAGGGGTAACAGCCTGACGCCATGCCTTCCGACATCCCTCACCTGCCTTCCCTGACCCACCTCTTACTACTCCTCTCCCCCAGGCTGTGCTTCTCCCCGTCCATTTACTCTACCCTGGGCTTGGCCTCGGATGCCCACTGACCCCACTGCCCAAATGCCCCCCTCTACCACCCCAACTGCCATCTCCACAGATCTTCTCGTATGGGAGGTCCAGCTCAAACACTACCTCTTCCCTGATGCCCCCTTACATCCCCCAATTAAGTAGGCTCCCCCAGATCTGGGTACCAACCCCCAAGCACTCAGATAGCACTGAGCATATCCCCATCCTGATACTGCTCACAGATCTGAAAAGCTCCCGGCAGCCTTCACAGAGGTGTACCCCCACCCTGCCTGTCTGCATTGGGGGAACAGGATCCCACCAAAAGCCAGGGAAGACGTTTCTTGGGACTGAGTTTGTAGAAAAGGAGATACTTTAGATCATTGATCATGTGTGTTCATGGAGACCAGTGTGAAATTTAAGAGGAGCCAGCCCTCACACAGCAGGAGTGACTACAGTGTAAACTGGCATTCCCAAATGCAAATACTTGTTTGATGACTTAAGATATGGCTAACTAATGAGGGAAGGGAAGGGTGGGAAGAATATCAGAAAGAACAGGCTAGGAAAAAACTCAAAAGCTGAGGGCAGGGACATAAAGCAATGAAGCAGCCAGAGAGGAGGCCAGAGGGTGGCTTGTAGACACTTGTGGGGCTTCTGAGAGAGCTGAAAGGAGTGACATTAAGCAGCCAGGAGTGGACTTGGCTATTGGGAACAGCTGCTTGAACACGACCAAGGGCTTGGGGAGGAGAGTCCTGAACTCAAGGAGCTGGGAGGAATGCCTGGAGGTAGAAATGGAAGGTTGCAGAGAGTTTCATTTTGACCTAGGACTCAGAGCGGAGTACCACCCTCTGGCAGAGAAGTAAGCCTGAATGTGCTAGAAAGGCAGGCGGCAGATACCATGCTAGTACTTTAGTTAGTAATCATAATCATCACTACCAGTTATTCAATTTTCCTAAGTATAAGCTCTTTTCTTGCCAAAATTTCACTTAACTCTTCCTTCATCTGATAAAAATGGATCATGTTTAGTTGGAACTGACAGCCATAGAATAACTTAATTCTATTCAACTAGCTGTATTCTCTAACCTACAGATGGATGGAAATGAGATAAACAATGATAGCAGCAGGACTGTTTATCTGTATGTTATCAGCTCTGTATAATTCACAGCCCAAGATTCTCCCTCACTGGATTCTGAACAGTCAATGTAGCATGGAATTCTCCAAAGACCATGCCCAGAAATAAAAACAGATATTGTTCATTGGATTGCACATAAAGTCTCCAGTTTAATCTTCACAGCAATATAAGGAAATGTGTATTAGCTTGATTTTTACAAGATTGGAAAGGCCCAGGGAGGGAGGCACATGCCCAAGTTCCCATGGATAGAAGATTGGACAGAAGCAGGGTGTGAACCCAAGGCTGAAATTCTCCCAGGTCATGTCCTTCACTCAACTTGAGTCAACCCATGCTCATTCCGGCTAGAAGGGGCTCCCTTTAGAATTGAAGAGCTTGGTCTGGGCTTGAGCAGATGAGTAGAAGGCACATCGGCACCTTCACCGACTTACAGCAACGTTATTAACAATGCACAGTGAAGAATGCCAGGTTTAAAGAGTGGATGATTCCCATTTTCCCTCCCTGGGCACAGTCGGAGGGAAAATCAATGGGTAGTTGAGGAGCAGGGTGGAGAGGAGGCAAAGTCCTGCAAACTCATGTCTCTGGCCTCCATGACGATATCATAGTCAAGTCTTGTTTCTTCTAACGTGGTTGCAAATATTTGGACTGAATTTGGTGCAGTGGCAGAGCCCTATGGTTAGAGGCAGGAAGGTTGGGATCAGAGGGCGTAGCTTGGCCACCTGCATCTCTTGACCTCACCTTCCCCAAGTGTGAAATGCCTCACAAGAAGCATTTGTGTGAAAGTGCTCTGCAACCCATTTACAAGATGGTTCTTGGTGTCATTAAATCATTACTGTCGTGTCTACACCACCCAAAGATCTCAGTTAGGACATTTGATCTTTCAGGTTTTTTCCTCCTCCAAAATCAAACACCTTTTGTGACTCCAAATATCCAAAGTAAAGATTAGTTAGGGTCCTTTTTTTCTCCTTTCCACCCCCGATTCCCACTGCGTTCTGGACATTTCACTGGTTCTCAGCCCCTTTGCAGGCACTGAGGGTCTTGATTTGTTTCACACAATTGGCTGCATTTACCCTTAACTAGCTCAGTGTGAAGAAAACAACAGCCAGTGGGGAACTAGGGAATTTCCCGTCAACCTGTCAATCATATTTACACACATGGCAATGGGGGATTTTAATGAAACCATATTCTTTTAAATTGAAGTATGGTTGATTAACAATGTTGTGTTAGCTTCTGGTGTACAGCATAGTGATTCAGTTTTCTGTATGTATATTTCCTATGAAACCACATTTAACCCAAAGAACAGTGCCAAAAACTCTAAAGCAAAAATCCATAAGGGAAAAAAATAATGAAACTGCTCTTAAGTATTCTTTCTAAAGGAGCTGCCTCGTCTGTTTCTTCTTACTATTGACTGAATGCTTCACATAAAGTGCAACGCTCATGATCCTGTAAAACCAGCTTCTTTCCCAAATGTCAGGTGGTAGAAACTGATCCTAAGAGGCAGAGTGATGATAAGTTAGTTACAGTGTTGAAATGAGATCTGGGGGAAGCCTCTTGGTTTTCAGTCAAGCTGCTTTCCTTTTCTTCTAAAAAGAGACAAGTTTTAGCATCAATGTGCCTTTTTAAATATGAGGACAAACATCTAAATGTGTCCACACTCTTGTATATCTGAAGGAGAGCCCACAGAGATCTGAGAACACGTCTACAAAGGCCAAGAGAACCTATACCTTAGGTGTAAACTGGGGCTGCTTGCTCTGACTTCTCAATAATCAGAGCTATATAGACCCAAGAATCAGACACCTCCTCAGCTTGTGGTGGTAGAGGTTGAT